TTTGCTTCTTATTCATGGAAGGAAAATGTGAAATATTCCCAATTAAAGACATGTCAAATTGCCAAGAACATCCAGAATGGAAATTTGGTTTCTCTAAGGGTAAACTTTAATTCTTAGTTTTGCCTGCTGCTGTGTGGAGTCCATCCCAGCTCAAACTGACCATGTAGGGCAGAGTAAGGCTGTCCCACAGACTTTCCAAGGCTTTAAACTTTTACTGAGGTTTACCACATCGTCTTCTCCTCAGAGTCATTGGTGGGTTTGAACCAGTGACTTTTTTGGTTGGCAGTCGAAGCAATTGAATCATTGCACCACTAGGGCTCCTTCTTAGTCTTACCACTGTATAAAATAAGAGGCAACACATGATAGAGATGACAGTGGTGGATATAGCAACAGAGGCCAGGTCATTGAAGTACTTGTCTGTTTCTCATGGCGTGAATTTGTATTTTACCTCAATAGCACATCTTCCTTGTCACATGTGCAGGTTTTGCTTTTTTTTTTCTTTCAATGCCTTCTTGATCTGTATTTAAAAAAAAAAAAAAAAAAATCTCTCCCCTGGCATTATGACATGATGAAATTTCCTTGTTTTCATGCAATACCTTGGAAGCAGTTAAAACTTAGCAATCATTTTCTACAGCTCACCAGAAGCCCTAAGTTCAGATATCGTTTTCTGTTCCTGTTTATACTTTTTCATTTCTGAAGCCAGAAGTCAACCTGTTTGGGGAACTTATTTATAAAGGCCCTTCTTCTATTTGAAACTTAGTATTGTTGAACATCTTCAAACAAATGTTGATCCTGGAAATTACTGAATATGAAGTCTTCCTGCTTTTGGCTCCTGTCTTAAATCAATGACCCGTAATCTCCAGAGACAGAGACATGGAGAATATTTGTCCTGTCCTGAACTGTCTTCCTTACACAGGTCTTCATCCATCTGCTTGTAAGCCTTTCACGTTTTCCAGTGTATGTTCATTCAACCCCTTCTACATACAGGAGTTCCCATTCGCATTCACAGCCGTTAAATTGCTTTTCCTTCAATAAACCTTTTTCAGCCTCTTTGAAAATAAGTCCCGCCCCTCTACATTCTGTGACCTACAGTTTCATATTATTTTATTTGACTTAAGTTTTGATAGGCTGCCATTTTAAATCCTATGAAAGCAGGTACTTGGTGTAACTCATTCACTGCCGTATCTTCTGCATACGTATTTAGTAACCCACTGCCTCCAAGTCAATCCTGACTCATACTGAACATATGGGAGAGGAGAACTCCAAGGTGCTCTCTCTGGTTAATGTACTGGACTGCAAAGTTGTTTTGATCTGCAAGGTTGGTGGTTCAAGCTCACTAGCTGCTCCTCGGAAACCCTATACAGGGATGCTATGGGTCAGAACTGACTCGACGGTTCTTAACAACAACAGCAACAAAAGTTTTTATAAACATACTGCTACATCTTTCTCCTGTGGAGCCACTGGATGAACTTGAACCAGTAATCTTGGTTAGCAGCTAAGTGCTTAACCACTGAGCCAAGCATGCTTCTTTTCCTATTTAATAATCAATATTCAATTGCTGAATGAATAGATGGATGGATGGATAAAGGACAGACTTAAAGGCTTTAAATGGGATTTTTAACAAAACCCAATCTGTCATTCTTCATTCATGCTCTAGTTTCATTCAACCAGACCCTCGGTATTTCTCTTATCCCCCATGAATGTAACACAGTCATAGTCCTTTCCAGTACTCCAAGTTGGCTCCAACTCACAGTGATCCATATAGGTTTACTGGGGAGTGGCTGTGGGGTTTGAACTGTCAACCTTGTGATTAGCAATCCCATGGTTATACAAAGACTCAGACTCATGTGTATATATATATATATATATATATATATATATACACACACACACGTATTTATGTATATATATATATATTGCTGTTATATACCGTGGAGTTGGCTCCGACTCATAGTGAACCCTGTACAGGGTTTCCAAGGCTGTAAGTCTTTATGGGAACAGAAAGCCTCATCTTTCTCCCGTAGAGCTGCTGGTAGTTTCAAACTGCTGATCCTGAGGTTCGCAGCCAGATTTGTAACCACTATGCTATCATCTATTCAGCTTTGATTCATGGCAACCCTATGTCCAACAGAAGGAACACTGCCCAGTTCTGCTCAATCCTCACAATTTTCCCTGTGTTTGAGCCCGTTGTAGCTGCTGTGTTAGTCCATCTTATTGAATGCCATTCTCTTTTTCGCTGACTCTGTACTTTACCAAGCATAATGTCCTTCTCCAGGGACGGGTTCCTCATGATGGCCTGCCCAAAGTCCATAAAGCGAAGTTTGCCATCCTGACTTCGAAGGAACATTTGGCTGTACTTCTTGGAAGACTGTTTTGTGTATTTTTCTGGCCATTACTGTTGTCTTCACTATTCTTTACTAACACCAGAATTCAAAGGCAACAAGTTTTCTTATGTCTTCTTTATTCATTGTCTAGGTTTTGCATGCACATGAGGTAATTGAAAATACCATGATTTGGGTCAGGCATACCTTAGTCCTCAAAGTGACAGTTTTGCTTATAAATACATTTAAAAGATCTTTTGCAGCAGATTTGCCCAGTGCAATATGTCGTTTGATTTCTCAGTTGTGGCTCCCAAGGGTGTTGATTGTGAATCCAAGTGAGATGAAATACTTGATAGCACCCATCTTTTCTCTGTGTTTCATGATGTTGTTTATTGGTCCAGTTGTGAAGATTTTTTTTTCTTCTTTATATTGAGATAAAATCCATACTGATAGCTCTAATCTTTGATCTTTATTGGTAAGTGTTTCAAGTCTTCTTTACTTTCAGCAAGCAAGATTGTGTTAAGCTGCATATCATAGGTTGTTAATGAGTCTTTCTCTAGTCCTGATGCTGCATTCTTCTTCCTCAGATTGTGTGCTCAATATACAGACTGAATGTTGAAAAGATTCAATGATTTTAAACTGTTCAGTATCCCCCTGGAGGAGTTCTGGTAGCTTTGTGCATTATATGTGGGGATTATAACTGCAAGGTCAGCAGTTACTATCCCCACATATGAAACTACCAGTTGCTCTGCAATAGAAAGGTGAGGTTTCTGCTACAGCAAAGATTCACAGCCTTGGAAACCCTATACAAGGTCACTATGAGTTGAAATCGACTCAATGGCACATAACCACTACTACCACCAGGATCCCTTTGTTCTGTTTGAACAACTGCCTCCTAGTCTGTGTATAGGTTCTCCGTAAGCACAATGACATTTTTGGAATTTCCATTCTTTTCAGTGTTATCCATAAGTTTTTTATGATTAGTAGAGTTGATTTACAGAGCTTTTGCATAGTCAGTAAAACACAGGTAAACATCTTTCTGATAGTCTCTACTTTCAGCCACGATCCATCTGACATCAGCAAAGACATGCCTTGTCCCATGTCCTCATCTGAATCTTATTTGAATTCTGGCATTTCCATTGGTGTGTTGCCACAATGATTTAAAAATTATCTTCAGCAAAACTTTACTTGTATATTATATTAACATATTAATGATACTGTTTATAATATATTATAAAATAATATATCTTTATCCTGGTGTGGCACTGTGGGTTAATACGCCAGACTGCAAAACCATTTGAACTGCAAGGTCGGTGGTTCAAGCACACCAGCTGCTCCTCGGAAACCCTATACAGGGTTGCTATGGGTCAGAACCGACTCGACGGCACTTCACAATATCATTTTTATATCTGTATGTCTGTTTGTCACATCTGTCTGTCTAGCTATGTATCTCTGCCATACATCTGTCAGTTTCTTGTACTATGGTGTACTATGTGTTGCTGTGATGCTGGAAGCTATGGCCCCAGTATTTCAAATGATAGCCGGCTTACCCATGGTGGACAGGTTTTAGAGGATCTCCGAGACTAAGACACACTGAAAAAAAGGAACTAGTGTTCTACTTCTGAAATATAACTTTGGAATTTATTTATATTGTTTTTAGTTGAATCTCTTGATTAAATTTTGTCCAATTTATAATTTAAAAAGAGATTTTATTTTTCATACATGTCTTAAATGTGACAACAATTGTGAGGTTGATGCAGGACCAGCAGTGTTTCATTCTGTTGTGCATAGGGTCGCTATGAGACGTATTGACTCAATGGCACCTAACAACAAAAACAAAACTAATAAAGGATGGTTCTTAAAGTGGGAGAAATACTGAGTATAATAAAGTATATATAAAATAGAATGCATGAATTTTTCAACCTGACTTTAAGTACTATGGATATTTTGTCGTATTTGCATCTATTGATTTTTTTATGCATTCCACAACTTAATGTACTAGTGTTATGCATATGTAAGTATTGTGATTTTTTTAACATAATATGATCTGAGCCTGTCCTAATATCATTATAAATACTTTAAAAAGCAATTTCAATATATTCCTGATCTGAAGTTCCATTTTAGAGAATCATCATGGAATGCAAACAGAATACCAGATAGGTTTCTAGGCACTAGCATTTAAGTTGTCCTGCTTCAAATATGTAGTGGTTTCTGAATCAGAAAAGATGATATTTTTCTTGTTTTCTCAAGAAGTTTTGGTTCCAAGATGCAATAGTAGGGTACAGAAGCAAGAGAAGAAATGGCAGATTAATTTGAATGAAGAGCAAACATGAAATAACTGAATCCCGACAAATACAAGGGGTTCCAACATTAGGTCCACTGAGCACACAGATTTGTTTAATAAATGTGTACCAACTAGACCTTTAGGGAGCACAGTGGCTCTGTACGGTAAGCACTGGACTACAAACCACAGAGTCAGTGGTTCAAGCCCATCAGCAGTTCCTCCAGAGAAAGATGAGGCTTTGGAAACCCTATTCAGGGTTGCTATGATTCAGAACTGACACGATGGCACTTAACAACAACTAGGCCTTTAGAACAATGAATTGGCAAAATGTTGGTGAACCAGCCTTCCCTGAAATCCTGGCTGTGAGGTTGACTTGTATTTTCATTCTTTTCTAGAGTGACCGTCTTCTTATCAAGGGAGGCAGAATCGTCAATGATGACCAGTCCTTTTATGCTGATATTTACATGGAGGATGGATTAATAAAGTATGTATGCAGAGTCCTTCTCTTTTCATTTCTTATATGCTTTCTTCATGAGAGGCTCAGAAATCAACCTGCTTCTTTTGAGTTACTAGAATAATGTTTCTCTGTATTTCATTTCTCTTTCTCTGTAAAAATATGTTTTAATTTTTGTCTTTAAGTCTGGATCACAAAGTATACAACCTGTTGCCACCGAGTTAACCTTTAATTGAACTCCCTGGGTGGTACAAATGGTTTTCCCTTGGCTGGTGACTGAAAGGTTGACGGTTCAAACCCACTCAGCAGCATCACGGAAGATTCATGACGACCCCATGTGTGTAAGAGTAGAGCTGTACTCCATAGGATTGTTAATGGCTGATATTTTCTGAGGTAGACTGCCAGGTCTGTCCTTCAAGGCACCTCTGGGTGGACGTGAACCTCTAACCTTAGTGAACTGCTTCTGTAAAGATTACAGTTAAGAAAACCCTAGGGAGCTGTTCTATAATCTCCATGAGCCAGAAATGACTCCATATCACAAGACAATACCACCGCCTTTAAGAGAATATGTAGTATGTGCTAGGCATTATGGTCAAAACTTGCCTTATCTCATTTAATTTGCCATAAATCCTATGAAGTAAATGCTATTATTACCCACTTACTCAGGTGAGGAAAGAGGCAGAGAGAAGGTAAGTAACTTACGAAAGGACAATGAATTAGTCATATATGTTTAATGAATGAATGTATAAAGCAAGAATGAAAATATTAATTCTCAGTTGCCTTGCCACTTAATATCATTGATTTTTCCTAGGATACATGGAAGTACCAGGCAAACTAGCCAATATAAAATAATAATTTCTTCAATATATAATCCAGAATTTATGTTTTCTATTACTAAAAATATGTACATGCATATAGATGGCTGTCTTTGGAGGTAGCTTATTCTCTTATTTAGAGATATTTCAAAGCTGGAAAATTAGTACTTTTCCATTTTGGAATTCCTGGCAGACATCACTAATCCATCACAGAACTGTCTGTAGTGGAACCTTGAGGGCAGGCTTGGAGTCCCTCTTCACACAGCCTGTCAGGCATCCACTGACAGAGTTGAATACATAAGGTAAATCCTTTTTGCCGTTTCTATTTGAATTGCCTGGAAGGCCACTTACCAAGGATGTTACAGAAGAAATGTAGCCATCAGATGTGTGTCTTAGTGAGGCAAAAGTTTCGATAAATATGATCTTCTTCCAGTCCTGAAATTTTTATGTGTCTAACAACATTCTTGGAGATTCTTGGTGTGGCGCTGTGGGTTAATGCTCCAGACTGCAAAGCTGTTTGAACTGGAAGGTTGATGGTTCAAGCTCACCAGCTGCTCCTTGGAAACCCTATACAGGGCAGCTATGGGTTGGAATCAACTCGACGACACTCAACAACAACAACATTCTTAGCTCACAGATCAGAATAACAGAAATAATTTGATGTAACTGTTATCTAGTTGTTTGTGTATGAATACCTAGTTGTTTGTGTATGAATACTATGGAGTGCCTTCTATGTGGAGGGAAATTGCACTGTGTTGTATACTACCCTAAATATCATGCATCCTGCTCCTAAGGACTTTACAGTCTTTTGAAGGAGCTGTGTTATCTGTATCACAGTGCCTTGAAAGGCACTAACATTACCAGGTAATATTACTATCAAGTATTAAATTAGTAGATAATCAAGTACTAAGAGATCCACAGGAGAGAGACAGAGCTGTATAGAAAGAGTTGTTGTTGTTAAGTGCCGTCAAGTCAGTTCCAACCCATAGCGACCCTGAACAGGATTTCCGAGGCTGTAAATCTTTATGGGAGCAGAAAGCCTCATCTTTCTCCTGCAGAGCAGCTGGTAGTTTTGAACTGTTGACCTTGCGGTTCGCAGCCCAATTCGTAACCACTATGCTACTAGAGCTCCTTGTATAGGAAGAGGGTAACCATTAATTCTAATAGCTGATGTTTATTGAGTTCTTATGTACCTCACAGTGTTCTTTGTGCTCACAAGTATTAAAACATTTATTCTATACAACAGTCTTAATGGTGGATGTATTATTACATTTTGCAGATCCAACAATGAGGCATGGTAAGGTTATATAACTTGGTCCAAGACACACAGCTAGTAAATGGTAGAGTCAAACTTGTGAATCCAGATAGCCTGCAGCCATGGCTCAGCCCCATTTTTAATTATTAGATGTGATTGTTACTAGAAACCTGATAAAGGAAGTGAGATTGAAGCTGAGCCTTCAAGGATGAATGTGACTTTTATTGTGGTGGTGGACAAAAAGGGTGAAGATAGATACGGTGTTATACTGATGTCAAAATGGGTGAGTGTCATTTGGGAAAATACAGAAACCAGGAGTGTCCAGGTCTTTAGTTTTACATTTTCCTCAGAGGAAAATCAGTGAGAGTGAAAAATGGGAATGGGACTGGTCACTATCTGGGCATCTAGGATGGGGTTAAGATCAGAGACTGCATTCTTTTTCACAGTATGTTTTGAACTGTGGTATCTCTGGAATGGCCTGATGGTAATGTGGTAAAGTTGGACTTGGAGATGTCAGGGATACTTATTTTAGTTGAAGAAGTTAGAGCTTGACAGGCCAGTGGTAGCAACGCCTACTTCTTAATACTTTTCCTGGATTTCTGTGAGCAAAAGGGAAAGTATTCACATTGCTGGAAGTGAGGTGCATGTATCCACGATATATATTTAAACTTCCATTGAATCATTCCCTGATTCATGACAACCCATCACAATGGAACAAAACATTACCAGTCTGGCACCATCCTCAGGATTGTTTACGAATTGAACCACTGTGATCTCTAGGATTTTCATTGGCTGATTTTTGATACTAGATCACCAAGCCTTTCTTCTTAGTGCATCTTAGTTTGGAAACTGCTGAAACATCATTGCAATACACAAGCCTCCACTGATAGGAGGCACATGCGGTACATTGGTCAGAAATCGAACTTGGAGCTATTATGCGAAAGTTGACAATCTACTACTGAACTATCAATGCTTCATTTACAATGTTGTTGTTAAGTGCTGTTGAGTTGGTTCCAACTCATAGCCACCCTGTTTAGAGTTTCCAAGGAGCAGCTGGTGAGTTTGAACTGCCGACCTAGTGGTTAACAGACCACTCCTATAGTGCCACACTGATCAGAAGTCAGGTGTCTTATCCATGGCCATTCACAATGTAGAAGATGTTTAATAATAATATGAAAATAGTTGTACCCAGTGGCTTAGAAATCTTAGAATCCATATTGGTAGGTTTAACCAGCTATACAATTAAGGCTGTGAAGTCTTAGCCAAGCAATTTTGGATTGTCTACAAGGTAACATTGTGTAGGGAATAGTTGTCACTTTCATTGTATAATATGCCCTTGGGGTACTCATTAGCTTACCCTCCACCTGAGTTTCCTCTTCTGCTCTTCACTGGGATGTGCCCAAGTTTCCTGGGCAAAGCTGTGCAGAATAGAGGTTGTCATAATCACCTTGGCTTCATGTATCTTGTGAGATGCTGGCCACTCAAAAGCAGCTGGTACTGGAAGCAGCTGCTTCTCTGACATTTTTTTTTTTGCAAATCTGCCCCCAGCTATGACTGACTGACTGACACATTGGCAGAGAAGGGTAGGATTGAGATTGGAGACTTAGTCAGATCTAATTTGCTTGTTGTTGTTGGGTGTCCTTGAGTCGGCTCCAACCCATAGTGACCCTAAATCCAATAAAATGAAACACTACCCAGGCCTGTGCTATCCTACTGCTATACTTGAACCTGTCGCTGCTGCCTCTGTGCCAATCCATCTCATTGGGGTTCTCCTGTTTTTTGCAGACCCTCCATTTTACCAAGCACAATGTCCTTTTCCAGGGACTAGTTCCTCTTGATAATATGTCTGAAGCATGAGAGATAAACTCAGGCCATCTTGACTTCTAAGGAGCATTCTAGCTGTACTTCTTCCGAAACAATTTGTTTGTTCTGACAGTTCATGGTACCTTTAATATTCTTCTCCAACACCGTAACTCAAATACGTCAATTCTTCTATGGTCTTCCTTATTTATTACTGTCTAACTTTTTACATGCCTATGATGTTATTGAGAATACCATAGTCTGGATCCAGGCACAGTTTAGTCCTCAAACTGACATCTTAGCTCTTTAACACTTTAAAGAGGTCTTGTGCAGGAGATTTTCCTAATGTAATATGTAGTTTGATATCTTGACTGCTCCTTCCTTGAGTGTTGATAGTGTATTCAAGCACAAAGAAATCTTTTCTCCATTTATATGGATGTTATTTATAAAATCAGTAAGTATTTTAACTCATCTCTGCTTTTAGCAAGCAAGGTTGTATCATCTGCATATTGTAGGTTGTTAGTGAGTCTTCCTCCAAACCTGGTATCACATTTTTCATATAATCCAGCTTTTAAAATTGTTTGCATAACATACAAATTGAATAAGTATGGTGAAAGAATACAACCCTGGAACACACCATTCCTGATTTTAAAACATTCAGGGTCCTGCTGTTCTGTTTGAACAGCTGCCTCTTGTTCTGTGTACAAGTTCCTCATGAGCACAATAAGTGTTCTGGAATGCTCATTCTCTGCAATATTGTCCATAGCTTGTCATGGTCCAGAGTCAAAAGCCTTTGTACAGTCAATAAAGCACAGGAAAACATCTTTCTGATAGCTGCTGCTTTCAGCCAAGATCTTTCTGACGTCAGCAATGATATCCCTCATTCCACGTCCTTATCTGAGTCCAGCTTGAACCTCTGGCAGTTCCCTGTCAATGTGCTGTTGCGCCTTTTTTGAATTATATATAGCAAAATTTAGCATGTGATATCAATGATATTGTCCGATGATTCCGTTGGGTCACCTCTCTTTGGAATAGGCACCCGTATAGATCTCTTCCAATCTGTTGGTCAGGTAGCTAGCTGTCTTCCAAACATCTTGGCATAGATGAGTGAATGCCTCCAGTACTAACTAGATCAGTTTGTTGAAAAATTCCTATTTGTATCCCATCAATTCCTAGAGCCATGTTCTTTGCCAATGCTTTCTGTGCATTTTCAACTCCTTCCTTCAGTATCATTGGCTCTTGATCATATACTACCTCTTGAAATGGTTGAACATTGACCATGTCTCTTTGGTACGATGACTGAGTATTCCTTCCATCTTCTTTTTTTTTAAGTTTTTATTGTAATTGAGTGATAGTTTACATAGGAGAACATGAGGTTTACACTCACTCTATCGTATTTCCTTTCATTGCAATGATTACAAATCCCCACCATGCATTATCATTCAACAGCATTCCCTCTCTTTTTTTTTGATGTACACTGAAGCACTCAGGAATATATAACCATTCAAACAACCAGAGGGTACACCCTACAAGCCTGCCACCCAGTCATCAGCACACAGCCCCTCTTTCTCTCTGAGTTCAGAGTCCCCAGCCACTCTATCTCTCCATGTCATCATCTCTGCAGCCATCTCTGGCTTTACTCTGGATAGGGTCCCACACCCCTCTCTTCTCCCTTGATGGTACCAGGGCCTTCCACTCCTGGAATCCAGATCAACCACTCCCCGCCTTTAGTTACACTTCCATCTTCTTTTGATGATCTCTGCATTATTCAATATTTTAACCAAAGAATCTTTCAGTATTGCAAGTCAAGGCTTGAACCGTTTCCTAAGTTCATTTAGCTTGAGAAATGCTGAGCATATTCTTTCCTTTTGGTTTTCTAATTTCAGATCTTTGTACATTTCGTTATAATATTTTGCTTTGTCTTCTTGAGCTGCCCTTTAAAATAAATGTTTGATTCAGTTCTTTTACTTATGCATTTCTTCCATTAGCTTTAACATCTCTTCGCTGGAGAGCAAATTTCAGTCTCTTCTAACAGTCATTTACTTAAATGAACACAATTTAAGCTAACCGTATTCCTATTTTTTTCTTTAAATGGATTCTCTCTTCTAATATTTCATTACTTTTTATTTTATAGGTCCTTCTTCAAATATTGTATTGTAGAAAAAATAAATAAAAGCTAATTTTTTCAGCACATGTTTATTATGCCCACTATATTCTAGACAGCTCAAAATCAATGGTTATAATACTCAGCCACATATGCACTTGGTCCCACCATCTGCCTCTCAGGTCACTTTATATCTGTAAAATGGTTTTCTGATTATACACCAGTTGTCAAATTGACTCCAATTTGTGCCAATCCTAAGTGTGTCAGAGTAGAACTGTACACCATAGCATTTTCAATCATTAAATTTTCTAAAGTAGATTGCCAGCCTTTCTTCTGAGGCACTTCTGTTGTTGTTAAGTGCCGTCGAGTCGGTTCCGACTCATAACAACCCTGTATAGGGTTTCCAAGGTGGGTTTGCACTGCCGACACCTTGTGGTTCACAGTCCAGTGCCGATCTTACAGCGCCACACCAGAAGCACCTCTGGGAGTAGATTCAAATCTCTTAACGTTTTGGTCATCAGTAGAGCACATTAATCTTTTGTACCACTCAAGCACTCCTCTGTATATATGGTACTGGTGGTTGTGTGCCATTGAGACAGTTCCGATTCATAGCGACCCTATGTGGAGTTTTAGAGGCTGTAAATCTTTACAGGAGCAGAAAGCCTCATCTTTCTCCTTCAGAGCAACTGGTAGATTTGAACTGCTGACCTTGCAGTTAGCAACCCAGTTCATGATCTACTACGCTACCAGGGCTCCTTCTCTGTACATAATTTTGTTTTTGTTAAGCTTCCTCTAGCCAGTTCCAACTCATAGCGACTCTGTACAGGGTTTCCGTGGAGTGGCTGGTGAGTTTGAACTGCCAAACTTATGGTTAGAAGCCCCTTGTAGTCTAGTGCTTACAGAGCCACAACTGGACTCCATACCTGTATGTGCTTCTTGAATCCCGGTGTCATACGGTAAAATAAGCACTAGACTGCTAACCTCAAGGCCAGAGGTTCAAACTCACCAGCCACTTCTTGGAAACACCTATGTTGTTCTTAAGTGCCATTGAGCCTGAATCATACCAACCCTGTATAGGATTTCTGAGGAGTGGGCTAGTGAGCTTGAACCGCTGACCTTGCAGTTCAAACAGACCCTGCAGTCCAGTGCATTAGCCTGCAGCACCACACCAGGAAGCCCCTATATGCTATGTATCACAGCAGATGTGATGACACTTTAAAGGCAACAGACACAATTTGTTTGCCGATTACCAGACTCAGGAATTACTTGTAAAGATTACTTTGATAAATAAAAGTTGCAGTGTTAAAAATTCTTATATATAATTCTGTACTTTTCTTGGACTTGTTCTTTTAAATTGCTAGTTGTTTCACTGTTTTACCAGGCAAATAGGAGACAATCTGATTGTACCTGGAGGAGTGAAGACCATTGAGGCCAATGGGAAGATGGTGATTCCAGGAGGAATTGATGTGCATACTCACTTCCAAATGCCATATAAAGGGATGACCACAGTGGACGACTTCTTCCAAGGGACAAAGGCTGCCTTAGCAGGTGGCACCACCATGATTAGTAAGTTCACAGATTCTACACATGTCTGCTGTTAAGAAGTGTGTGTTTAATGGCTAACGCTAGTGCTTTCTGATGATAACTTTGTAAACCTGTTGCCTTTGATTCAATTCCAACTCACATTAATTTTATAGTATAGAAAAGAACTGCCTCATAGGGTATCCAAGGCTCTTTTTTTTTCATTTTTATTCATTTTCTTCTTATTAAATAAAATATACATTAATTCAGCACTTTCTACATAATACTATTTAAGGATATTGATGATATTTTTTGTGTTGTGCACCCAGTTTCACCCTCCTTTCTTAAGTTGTTTCTCCCTCATTAACTTCCCCATTACATTCACTGCCCACTAACCTTCCTGTCTAAACTTTGGAGTTGCTGCTGTCAGTTTGACCCCAGATAGGCAGTTCTTGGGGTCCTGGTGTGGTGAAGTAGGATAAGCACTAGAATGCAAGCCACAGAGTCTCTGGTTCAAATACACCAGCTACTCCTTAAAAGCCTGTACAGGGTTGCTATGACTTGGAAGTGACTCAATGGCACTTAACAACAACAACAAGATAGTAATTAAAACAGCATAATGCCCAAGGCAGACATATTTTAATAATTAAGTTACACAATGGTTTGGTTTTAAGAGACTTTCAGGGAATATTTTTGGTTGAAGGTTTAAAACTTAGGTCAGGGCAATAGTTTCAGGGGTTCGTCCAACCTTCATGGCTCCAGGAAGTCTGGAGTCTATGGGAATATGAAATTCTGTTCTGCATTTTCTCCCTTTTGATCAGGATTCTTTTGTAGAACCTTTGTTCAAAATGTTCAGTAATAATAGCTGGGTACCATCAAGCACTTCTGGTCTCATGACAAAGGAGGCAGTTATTCATAGACTCATAAAAGCCACACATTCTATAGCTTCCTTCTGTTCCTGATTCTCCTTCTTTCTCTATTGTTCCAGGTGAGTAGAAACCAATTGGTGTGCTTTGGATGGCTGTTTATAAGCTTTTAAGACCTCAGGCACTATGCTGCAAACTAGGAGTTAGCACAGAAGCACTAAACACATATTTAGGCCAATTAACCGGGATGTCCCTTGATACCATAACCCTAAATAAGAAACTAAATCCCATGAGAGTTTTGGTTGTACACAGGCAGCCTCAGCAGCTACTCTCTGTTTTGTTTTGTCATTGTTAAATCTGTCTGTCACACAATGCTGTAATCTTCTCAGAAGTTGATGGCCACATCTTTTTCCAGAGGATTGTCTGGTGAGCGCAAACTGCTGACCATTTAGTTATCAGCCAAGTTCTGAACTACCATGCCAACAAGGCTGCTGCTTACGATAACCTGAACACGTCCCTAATGTCAGTTTTGCAGCCATTCTGCTTGATAAGGGCCTGAGAAAATCAAGCCCTGCTGTTGTCAGATGTCATCGAGTTGGCTCTGAACTTTTGTACACCATAATAAAACCTTGCCAGTCCGGTGCTAGCTTCCGGATCATTGGCATATTGGAGTCCATTGTTGCAGCCATTGTGTTAAACCTTCCAAGCTAGGGGTCTCATCTTCAGCACTGTATCGGACAGGGACAGTTTTCTGTTTTGATCCACAGATTGACAGGTGAGTGATGGAGGAATGAAGATAGCTGAGAGGAAACAGACAGCTCACTGTAGGAGCAGAGAGGAGATTCATGGTGTCCTTGGTCATAAAAGCAACAACCTTCTCTTGTTCTGCCTTTACAATAGGGAGCTGGCTTCTGCCGGAGGCAGGGCTTCTGGGCCAAAAGTGGACTCAAAAAAGTTTGAGAAGCAGACAAAAAAATTATTCAAAATTGCAAGTTTAGGTCTTAGGGAGGAGAATATAGAGAATGCAATTAGAGGAGTGTGGAGAGGACTAGCAACCAACCCAGAGAGAATGAAGATTAAGACTTGCAGTTGCAGTTCTTAGAAAATCAGTGGGCTTTATTGGCATTTAGTGCTATCTGGTCTGTATTGTATTTGGACTGACTCATATTTTTAAGATTAGGCAAGCTGTGGGAGTGATTTTCCTTTTTTTGAAAAATTTTTGGTAAGTATTGATAATCCAAAGAAACCTAGGTAGTTGTATACCATTGTGGTGTTGTTGTTAGGCACCATCAAGGTGGTATTGACTCATAGAGACCCTGTGCACACAGCAGAACAAAACATTGCCCAGTCCTGCACCAACCTCCCAATCATTGTAAGCCTGAGCCCATTGCTGCTGTCACTGTACCAATCCTCACTGGGGGTCTTCCTCTTTTTCTCTGACCCTCCACTCTACCAAACATGATAACCTTCTCCAGGGACTGGTCTCTTCTGATAATACATCCAAAGTACAAGAGACGAAGTCTGACCATCCTGTATACCGTTAGATTACTGTTTACTTAAACACTGTGAATAGGAACTTATAATGAATGTCCCTATTCAGTGTCATTAAAGAGAACTAAAGAGTTATTTAGATTTCTGGATGTATGAACTTATCTGTCTAGGACTTATCTGTTAGGATCCCATAGAGCATGGGTACAGTTAGCTCTCTTTCATGGAATGAAATCTCTTAGTTCAATTGAGTTTATCTATAACTGTATTTGGAGTCCTGGTGTGGTGCTGTAGGATAAACACTCCACTGCTAATCACAGGGCAGTGGTTCAAACCCACCAGCCACTTGTGGGAAGCTCTATCCGGGGTCACTATGAGTCAGAAGTGACTCAACAGTACTTTACAACTTTATATAACAGTATTTAGAAGATAAAAGAGAGAGGTTCCAGTGGTTTAGGATAATTTAATCCATATCTCTTATAAAATAAGTTAAAAGTAATATCAAAAATTTACAAATTAAAGAAATATCAGAAGCAGCATGTTATTTAGACATCCTATGAGCCTTGGTGTGGTGCTCTAGGATAAGCGCTGGACTCCCAAGGTCAGCAGTTCAAACCTACCAGCTGTTCTTGGAAGCCCAATATAAGGTTGTTATGATTTAGCACTGACTTGAGGGCACACAATAACAACAACAACATCCATTCAAGAGCACAGAACAGCCTGAGCTGTAGAATTATTCATCTCTCTAGTTTCCTTTTGACTGGAACACAAGACAGTTCAGCCTCAGCTAGCTGGGTGTTGAAGCCCAGGAAAATTGCATCAAGGCCATAAAAGGTGCAATTCAGGGAGACCAAAGCTTTTCTCCAGGTGGAGGGAGTAGGCCAGCTGACTTCTCAGCAGCTGCCTGCCCAGAAAAGCCCTTGGTGTGGTTCCAGACATTCATAATGTAGCTCCTTGCATCACTTTTCCAATAAATAAATGCGCTCAAGCTGCCTTTGAGAGAAGACTGAGGAAGTGAGTGGTCTTGCCTTGGCATTCTGCCATCTGAATATTGCTGGAACTTCCCAGCATCCTTCAGAGGGATAATAGCTGTTTGGTCTTTAGCATTAGGGAAGGGCCAGAGACAAGGCAAAGTTCTAGGTGGACTGTTGAAAATACCATGACTTGGATCAGGTGCACCTTAGTCCTCAAACTGCCATCTTTGCTCTTCAATATTTTAAAGAGGTCTTGTGCAGCACATTCGCTTAATGCAATACATCCTTTGATTTCTTGGCTGCTGCTTCCATGACTGTTGATAGTGGATCCAAACAAAATGAAATCTTTGACAACTTCAGTCTTTCCTTCATTTATCATGATGTCATGTATTCATCCAATTATAAGGATTTTTGTTTTGAGGTGCAACCCAACTGAAGGTTGTGTGTGGTCATCGTTTGTTTTTTGTTGTTGAGTGCCCTCGAGTCACTTCTGACTCATAGTGACCTTTATGGAGTTTCCAAAGAGTGACTGATAGCTGACCATGTGGTTAGTAGACCATTGCTTACCCTACAGTACCACACCAGGTACTTGCAAATCATTTCCAACTCAGAGCGACCCTGTGTGCAGAGAACCCACCACTGCCTGATACTGTGTCAGCCTCACAGACTGTTGTAGCCACTGTGTGACTCCATCTTACTGAAAGTCTGCCTCATTTTCACTGACCCTCTATACGTGCACACACAAAAAGAAAGAAAGAAAAGCTTAATTCCACAACATGGTAAAATTTTGCTATATATCCCATGCATTTTTTTTTTTCTGTTAACTAAAATGGAATCATAACATGTGATAATTAAAGCCACCATTTTCTCTAAATAATATGTCATAGATATCCTTCCATTCCTTTAGTTTTATTCTCTTCCAACATTTTACATGGGTGCCTAATGATTCATTTATGAAAGTGTCATAATTTATGTATTTAACTAGTCTCCCCATATTGTTTAAATTTTTTCACTTATATAAATAATAAAGTGGCACATATCCCTACAGCCCAAATGGTACATAGTCCTGTGTTTATTTCCTTAGGATAACTTATAGGCATAGAACCACTAAGTAAGAAGTATGGAAATATCAAGATGTTTGATATCTATTTCAAAACTGTGCTCCAGCAAAACTGGCCCAATTGATACTCTCCTCTGCCCATCCTGCCCCCACCATTGCCAAGGAAAAATCCGAGAGTATGGTGTTTGTCATAGATCCACAAACTGGGGGTATTTATAGTTTTTTTTTGTAAATGCTATCTATGGCTGCAGGTGCTGGAAGTAGATTTGGGCCTCAAAGAAACCAGATTCTAGACAGACTACATTTACATGGAAATTAGAGCTGAGGACTTGGTATCAGGTTCATTTTTTTCCTGTTGCAAAAAACCAGTAGGACGCAAAAACTCTGTGCCCCCATATAACCTTAAAACCCTTCCTTTCACTTATAAAAGACAGTCTGGCTTTGATCACTAGCAATGACTGCCCCTAATAGTCAGAAGCACAGCACAAAGTAAGGCACCCTGGTGGCATGATGGTTGAGTGGGAGAAAGACCCAATGACCTGCTTCCTTAGAGACGCTATACATCAGTTAGTCATGTGGTTGCTCTAAGTGACTCTCTGACATTGAGCAACAACAGCATGCCAGAGAGTAGGCACTCACTGATGGCTAACCTTTATTGAACACTTATTGAACAACAGTGTGCCAGGCATCAAGCTCTTCATAAGCATTTTCCATAGAATCTCATAGCAAATATGGAAGCAAAGCACGGTTACCTACCACCCCACCCATTATAAAAATGAAAAAATGGAGTTTTAGAGTAATCTGCCCAAGGTCATACAGCTAAATGGCAGTTAAACCTTTAACAACCTTGAAACCACCAAGGGAGCACTTTCTAAGGTTGATCCTGTATTCAGGGAGTAGAGATTTTCCAACCATAGCTAAGCTAGTGGAAACAGGCCAATGCAAAGGGGCAGAGAAGCTTGTGTCTTTGTGTCTTTCATCTGGTACCTTTGTCGTCCAGTTGACCATGTAGTGCCAGAGCCTGAGTCTGGCCTGACAGAGGCCTATGAGAAATGGCGTGAGTGGGCTGATGGGAAGAGCTGCTGTGACTACGCCCTGCACGTGGACATCACTCACTGGAACGATAGCGTCAAGCAGGAAGTGCAGAGCCTCATCAAGGACAAAGGTGAGCCCGAGCATGCCCTCTGCCCTACTCCTTGGGCTCCTCTCTTGGCTTCCCCACCCACACCATCTTACTCATTTGAGTTGCCTCCCCTTGCTTGGGCATGTTGAGCATGAGCACGGGATGGGTTCCACTATGTTCCAGGCACACTTGGTTTTCATTTATGTCATCTTGCTCCTCCTGAGAGAACCACCATGAGTTAGGAGTTGTTATTCCCCTCTTCGTAGATGGAGAAATTCAGGCTCAAAATAACCAGTCTAATATTAGAAAGTTAGTAAGCAAGAGATCTAGCCAAAGTATATATTTTTCACTTCCATGGCATACCGTTCATTTTAGAGAAGAAGAAACTGAGGTTAGGAGAGAGGTTGATGTAACTGACAAGGTCACATGTTAGTAAACATGAGATTAGGGATTTTTAAACTCCTATCATTTTTACTCAAAAAAATAAAACCTTTACTATAACAGTGTAGCTATCAGAAAAGACCAAGACATTTTTGGGAGCAAGGGTTTTGTTGGCACTAAGGCTGGGGTGTTGGGGTATGAGAACAAGTTTATTGCATGTGTATGTACCCTTTTAGTATGTGATTTAGGTCCCTGCAGTTTCTTAGATTCTTCTGCTCCCTAATTCATTCTACGGTTTCATCAATAGATTTTACTGTTTACTCCCTCCACTATGTGTCCACATCCAGGCATATGTTCACCACTATAAGGCAGCCTAGGGGAAATGGAGAAATATAAGCCATGGCCTCAGCTGAACATCCAAGTAAAGGGAAGCAGGCCAATGAAGAACAAACAAAATGAAATGCTGTACAATGCCAGAACCATTCTCAAATGTGTAGTCTAGCTATAAACATTAGATGTTCAGTGGAGTTTGCTCTGAGATAAAGGGATACGGCACATTTCCTAGAGGAGGAGATTCATTTTCTGAGCCCCTCTTCCCTACAAGCCTGCTTCTGGAGAAGCATCCTTCATGATGCTGAATGTCTGATTAGCACCTTCCCTTTTAACATGTGTCTCCCTTTGCACTGGACCTCTGGACTGAGGGAGAGAACTCAGTGAATTCAATACCCACCTCCCTGTCAAGAGGCCTGGGTCATTCGGTGGATGACACAGAGGCTTGTGGGAAGGGTAGTGTTGAGAAAACTGCCCTGAGTTGAACCATTTTGGGTAGGGAAGTTCTCAAATTACAACCCACTTTTGGCCTGGGACATTGTAAGCTGAGATGGCCCTAATGGTCAGAGACCAAAATTGTCTTCTTTTCCCTTAAATGATCCTCTAGTCATCATTCATATCTATTTTTGTAAATCATTATATTAATCAGTTTATTGTGGGTTAAAATTGAAAGGCAATTTCTTTAAACAGTCACTGTTGAGTTAGTCCCATCTCATGGTGACCCCACATGTGCCAGAGTGAAACTACTCCATAGGATTTAAAAAGTACAACTAATTTAGTTTTGTTGTGGTTGTGAGACTATTCACAGCAAAACATACCCAATTCAACAGTTTCTACATGTGCAACTGTGACACTGAGGACATTCTTTGGGTTATGTAATCATTGGCACCCTGTTTTTCTGAGCTGTTCCTCCCCTTTTAACATAAACTCACTGTCCCTGAGGTTGTCATTTTGAACCCGTAGAGATAGTTCATAAAAGAGTATAATAGTCAAGGCAGACATTGTTTGGTTTTAAGAAAACTTCAGGGGACATGGTTGGTTAAAGGTTTCAAGATTGTCTTAGGGCAGTAGTTTCAGGGGCTCATCAAAACTTCATTTGAAATTCTGTTCTGTATTTTGGTCAAGGTTCTACAGAATCTGATCAAAATATTTAATAATGGTAGCCAGACACCAGCCTGTTTCTTTTGGTAGTCATCCAAGGCAAAAGTGAGCTCCATTCATCTGGAGTAAACGAGGAAGAAGGGAGAGTTAGGAATAGGAGGATAAACTAGAATGTTTGACTAATTGCCCCCATTGGAGTTTAGTAGCTTGGTTTTCAGAATTAGCTGTTTTATCTTGGAAGCATCTCTGAATGAACTCAAATTGCCAAGGTTTGGGTTACCAGCTGAGCTCAGTAACTCTTTGCCTGTTGAGAATGCCTTAGAGACCTTGATGTTAAATGTCATCGAGTTGGTTCTAACTCATAACAACAAGTGCCAACCGGTGTTATTCTACAGCACAACACCTATAGCCCTTGTTGTTGTTGTCGTTAGGTGCCATTGAGTCAATACTGACTCACAGCGATCCTGTGCACAGCAGAATGAAACACTGCCCAGTCCTGGGCCAACCTCACAGTCGTTGCTACACCTGAGCCCCTGGCTTCTGCCCCTGTGGCAATCCATCTTGTTGGGGGTCTTCCTCTTTTTCTCTGACCGTCTACTTTAACAAACATGATATCCTTCTTCAGTGACTGGTCCCTCCTGACAATATGTCCAAAATATGAGAGATGAAGTCTGGCCATCCTGGCTCCCGAGGAACATTCTGGCTGCACTTCTTCCAACATGGATCTGTTTGTTCTTTTGGCAGCCCATGGCACTTTCATTATTCTCCTCCAACACCACAACTCAAATGCATACATTCTTTCAGACCTTAGGATTTAG